ACATCCTTGCTGGATATAGTATTCTTGGCTGGCAATTTTTTCTTTTAGTATTTTTATTTTTTTTTTATTTATTTATTTTATTTATTTATTTATTTTTTTTTTTTTGTCCTTTGTCTTTTTTCCGTGTCCGGCAACGGATCGCAACCCTCAGTGTTGCCCCCGTACCGGACCGGGGACCGGCAACGGGATCGCAAGCCTCGGTGTTGCTCCCGCGCCTCGCTCAGCCAGTGAGCGGGAGCCGGTCTGTACGTGGGATCCGAACCCTCGGACGGGAGCGCCGCCGCGCTTCCCAAGCGGCGCACTATCCAGTGCGCCACCGGGCCGGCCCCTTCTTTTAGTATTTTTAATATATCACCCTGTTGTCTTTTGGCCTTTAGAGTTTCTGCTGAGAAGTCAGCTGTTAGTCTGATGGAGACTCCCTTACAGGGACTTGGTGTTTTTCTCTTGTTGTTTTTAGGATTCTCTGTCTTCGAGTTTTGCCAGTTTGACTATAATGTGTCTCAGAGAGGACCTTTTTGAGTTGAATCTGTATGCAGATCTTTGAGCCTCCTGGATCTGAAGGTCCTTGTCTCTCCCTATACGTGGGTGAAAAGGAATGTCAGGGTTAAGAAGGAACATAACAAGACAGGGTAGAGTGTAGCATGTATCCAAGAAACAGAGGACTCAGGATGGGGGACAAACTTGGGCTCTGAAACTGAGAAAAAGTTTGGAAACAAGTTATAGAGCGCCTTAAATGCCAAGCCCAAAAGTTTGGGCTTTACTGTGACAGCAGAGGGAGCTGCTGAAAATTTCTGATTGGGAAGTGGCATGACTAAGTCTGTGCCTCAAGAGTACCAGGATCCTGGCAGTAGATCTGCAATTTCCCATGAGACCAGGACAATCGCTCTTTCTCAGGGGCCTTGGTTAATCTATAAACTAGGATAACTCTATATCTAAACATAGAGCAATGTGGGGCTGGGCAGCAAGTAGAGGGAGGTTAAATTAGTCCCTCGTCTACAGATTCCAGGTCTGGGGCAGAATCCCTGGCATTTGTATTTTTAACAAGCTCCTGTGGTGACTCTGATGTGTATCCAGGTTTATGAATCACTTAACTGGTTAATAACTAAGGTTGTTTACATTTTAATGTGCTGAGACTGATTAGCGGCAGCGGGGATGTCAGTGTTTAGAAGTGAAGAGAGAAAAGTCACTTAAAGACTGTTGTGATGTTGTAGGCAAGAAGTAATGGGAATGTGGGCTTGTGCGTGGCAATACAGGACGGGGAAACAATGACTAATGGAAAATACCACTGACAGAATTGAGAGGATTTACCTAGTAATTAGAAGTGAGGGTATAATAGGAAGCAGAGGCAAGGATGACTACAAGGTTTAGAACCTTGATCAAGACAGTGACAAATTTCATACATACAAGGAAATCATTAATTTCAATTTTGGTCGTCTTGCTCTCTCTGGTTCATATAAATTCAATTTCTATGGATCTGATCACTACTAGGTGAAGCAATGACAATATTCCAAACCTTTCAAAGAACAGCTAAAACCACCTATGCACCATGTCACAGGCACTGTGCTGTACAGTTTGGTCTCATTTAATTCTAATAGGTAGCTCTCTAACCTCAATGTTCCAGGCACTGTGCTACCTGTTTCACATTCATTATCTCATTTAATTCTCAAACTGCCCTAAATGAGTGCTACTATTATCCCCGTTTACAGATGAGGAAATTAAAACTTAGAGAAACAAAGTAACTTCCCGGAGGTCATTTGGTAAAAGGGCACATATTCAAACCCAGGCAGCCTGCCTCAGAACACAAGTGCTTAGCCCCGTGCTACCCTGTTGCCCTGTTAAACAGTGGTCAGATCTGGAAACAAGAAGTGAGGCAACTAAGAACTTTCAGGCTAGTGAAAGATACAAGTTGTATTTTTAAAAAACTGCCTTGTATCCAAATAGACTTCAAATTTAAATGTTTAAAGGGGATTTTTGTTGTTCTTGCCTTGGAAAATAAATTCAAGTGATGTGATTTGATTTTGTTTTTGTTTGTTATGCTAGAAATTTCTCTCTGTACCCTTTGGGCAAATGAGGATTGCTGTATGTGCCCTGGGAAGGGCTGTCAGGAAATGACTGCACAATCATGCAAGTTCTGCAGTCTGCTTGTCACGGGATTTCCCCTGGGCCCTCTTTTAGTCACTGTTGTAATGACTAAAGCTGACAGTGAAGGGAGGGCTTTCACCCTTTACCTCAGTACAGACTCACAGTCAACATAATCCAATACAGCCAAAATCCAACTCATAGTAGTGGGAAGGCTTTCCACACTTACCAAAATTCTAAGCAGCTTTGTGAAGTCTCCTTTCTCTGACAATCTCTAAAACTATCTGGTCACATCATATCTAGGTGTCATGTGTAATAAGTATGATATAGCAATTTGTGTCTCTGTTCTCTGGTTGTGTTATTTGAATCATTCAATGTGTCCAAAACTTTCCTTAGTTTACCCCACACCTTTCTGCAAATTGCTCCACAATGAACCTCATGTTTATATTCTGTTTAGACAAAAATTTTAATCATATTTTATGTTTATTATTAATGTAACATGCTATGTAAATGTACAGAAGCCTGACAAATAACAATCTAGTTATACAGCTTAAATAATACAAGCACTCACTGCAGTCTTTATTAGTACTCAGCTTTCTTTTATTTTGGCTTTTTAAAAAATAATTTTTAAAAGTGCATAATTCTTTAAGGCTACTCAGTTTAGGAAAGATTAAAGATAACACATTTCCAGTAATGAGTTAGTCAGTTGTATATTGCTTCAGATTAGAAAATGTCAAATAAATACTAAGAAAAAAATATTTTAAATTAGCTTAATTTAGATATAGGAACATTTTAGTCAAATTTCTAATTTGAATCTTCAGTGTTTCACTTATTTTATGCGTTAATTCCATCATACCAGGTCTTCTTTCAGGAATTTCTAGACTGCCTCAGACAAGATATAAAAAGAATTCAATTCCAGTCAATAACATTATCTGTCTTCTTCTCACCAGGATGAGAAGCTTCTGCTCCCAACATGGGAGCCACGGTAGGAAAAGAACTCCCTTCAATCCACTAGGGACGAGCAAATAATACTGCTGAACTGCAAGAATAAAGACCACACAGCTGTGAACATGCACACTCTGATTCCAGCAAACAAGGACTGACTCCTTACAAAATCTAACTTTGGTTGAGAAATGCTGAGGTTGCTAAGCCACAAATGCCAAGGTTATAGACACTGACAAAAGTAGCCCCAATAAAGTGGCAGGGTTTTGGGGTGGGGCCTTTCCTTCAATAACAAATGCATTCAGAAGGTTCAGGATTCAGTTTTTCTCAAAATGTCATAACATCTTGCCAAATCTTCTCCCACTAGGCCGGCTGAGACCAGAGAAACCGATCACATTTTTCAAGCATACTTTGTATCAAGGCTCTCTGCCTTTTCTCAGCAATCCTCAGGTTATCACAGGTTCTGGTAAACTTCTCTGACAACTCAACAGCCAGACCACATTCCTGTAGCAGTGACCAAGCCCGATCGGGGCCCATGGCCTTGGCTAACAGGAGTGCCACATTCTCCACATTGATGGGGGAAGGCCCATCACTGAGGTTCCCATTTAGTGACTCCTGGGGGGCTGGCCTTGTGCTCTTGTTCTGTACAAGACGTAGGAGAAGCTTCCATTCCTCCACAGTCTCTGGGATCCAACCTACACACACACACACACAGAAACAATGTTGGCTCTAACCACTCTAAGCACACTACCTACATACAGGAGATGGTCAAAACTGTTTGTAAAAACACTCAATACCCAAACATAAAATATTCAAGAACACAATCTCATTACCCTAACACAGAATTGTTTTCTGAACATTTGTTGCATAAACAGTTCATGATAAAGAAAAGCCACAAAATTAGCCTCAAAATTCTTTCAATAACTCAGTAAGTAATTACCCAATAGAATACTCTATGCTAGGCACTGGATGTGCAATGATGAACAAAACAGATACAATCCTTGCACTCTTGTGGAGCATATAGTCTAGTAAAAGAGACAGAACTTAAACACATAAATAAATATATACTTATAAACTGTGCTAAGTACTAGGAATAAAAAGAACAAGGAACCATTAAAGAGAATGGCTGATTTTGTTTGGAGGATCTGAGAAGAGCTCTATGAGGAAGTGACATTTAAACAGCTAAAAGATGCAACAAGCTTAGAGGACATGTGCATGTGGCTCACATAATACACAAACTGAGAGTAGGGGGCATCAGGAATGCAGGGGAAAGGAGCCTGCATTTCTGACAAAGAAAACATGGAATACAACATGACATAAGAAAGAACCTGCTGAGTTCAAGGAATTTTTAAAAGTCTAGAGTGCCCAAAGGTAGCAGTGAGTAGTGAGGTTGAGATGACAGAGCCAGGCCTTGAGGACCAGCTTAAAAATCTGGATATTATTCTGAGTTAAGTGCAAGGAGTTTCAAGGAAGGAAGCTACATAATCCAATTTCCTTTTTTTTTTTTTAAAGAGAAATCATTCTGGCTGCTGTAAGGAAAATGGATTAAAAGAGGGCACAAATGGAAGCCAGATGACCAGTTATGAGGTTACTGTAGTAGTCTAGACAAGTAGCTAGGATCAGAGTGATGGTGGTGGAGCAAACAAAAGTAGAGAGATATACGTGGCAGTAAGATCAACACGCCTTGGAGAGTGATTGACATGTGTCACAAGGAGAGAGAAGTGTCAAGAAAAGATCCCTATTTAACACACCAAGAATAACTCATTATTATTAGAACTTTTGTCTGAGTGGGGAGGATTTTAGGTGATATTTATTTTCTTTATGCTTCCTGAATTTTCAATTCTTTTTCTATAACAAACATATCATGTTGTAACTTTAAAAACACAAACTATTTATATCTTAACTTTTCTGGTTATTTTTCAGAAGTATATAAATATCTATAATTCTAGTCCTACGAAACAACCTGGCCCTCTTGTTTCATTTCTAAAACAAAGATGATCTCAGTAATCATACCTATAGCTGTGACATCTGAAGCTAAATGTTGCCAGTCAACTGGCTTTTTTGTTCTGGTCTGATTTTCCCTCTCCCAGACACACAGGGCTGTAAAAAGCTGTAGTGAAGGACTCTGGGTTCTTCTGCTGCTGAGTGAAGGACCCTGATGGCATGCCGTTGGTATCTCTGCACTGAGATGGATACAACAGCAATATAAAACAGACCAAGACCACCTCTCCAAGCACAGGAATGGACTCTCAGACTTCAGGTATCAGTGTGTCAAAGTCCTGGCCCTCTGATTGTCATTTTATCAGTGTTGGATTGATAAAAATTTTATTTTATTTTATTTATTTATCTTTAAAGATGACCGGTAATGGGATCTTAACCCTTGACTTGGTGTTGTCAGCACCAAACTCTCCCAAGTGAGCTATCCGGCCATCCCTATATAGGGATCTGAACCCGTGGCCTTGGTGTTATCAGCACCACACTCTCCCAAGTGAGGCATGGGCTGGACCCTAAAAATTTTATTTTAAAAGTATCAAAATATCTCTGAAGGTTTAGGAAGTCTGATTGCTATTCCACTTTAAGTTCATCTTAATGATCTCTAACTTTTGACTGTGTAAAAGGCAACATGATGCACTAAAAAAGAACCTGAGCACAAGTTTTGGAGATAGGCCTGGGTCTGAACACCAGTTCCAGCATTTACTAGTTATCTGACTTTGGGCCAGTTAATTGTCCTTTCTGGGCCTCAGTTGAAACATCTGGAAAGTGGAAATATCAGTAACTATCCCAAGAGTTTATTTTCTCATTTAAAACAGTATATAGAAAGCACACAGTATGATGCCTAATACATACTAGGCATTCATTATATTAAAAAATTATTGTAGTTTATTCTTAATTATGATATCATAATATACCAAAGAGTACAGATCAAAAAAACTCCACAAATCTGACAACTAGCTAGAATTATACATTATCATTAAAATGTTCACCAAATTTATTGACCAGTCTGGAGTGACTTCTAAAATAATACAACCATGAGTAATTAGTTGGAATTTACATACCATTGTCCCCTTCCATCAGGCTCATATCATTCAGGTACACAATGTTGGTGAAGGCCTCTCTTCTTCTCTCCAGCTCCAAACAGAGAGTAAGATATCCAGGCCAGAAACTTTAAAGAAACCAAAATTGCAGAAAGAAGTAAAAGACAGTGAATTTATCTGGATCTGCAATACAGTAGATACTAGCCACATGTGGCTATTTAAATTTAATTAAAGGTAAACAAAATTTAAAAATCTGTTTTTCAGTTGACCTATGCATATTTCAAGTACTCAGAGGCCATGTATAGCTAGTGGCTATCATATTAGAAAGTGCAGAATAACATTTCCATTATCACAGAAAGTTCTATTAGACAATCCTGATCTTGATAAAATAAAATAAAGACAAAAGCTAGTGATAAATACTGACATTTGAGGCCAAGCACCAATTATGAGAGGTTTAAGCTTTGTGTACTTTATAAACTTTAAGATTCAATGCAAAACCAGCATATTTCTTCTCTAAATATACAAACCTTGGAAGTCCTCCTTGACTCTTCCCCCTCCTTCATTTGCTATATCCAGTATCAACAAGTCCCACTGCATTTTCCTTTGAAATGTCCCTTGGACATGCTCCTTTTGCTGCCCTACTAATCACCAATCCACTCGCACCTGAATTACTGCAACAGCTTCCTACCTAGTCTTTGTCTCCAATCCTTCTCACATATGACACCGGAAATGATCTCTAGAAAGCTCCACTTTCATTATGTAATTTTGTATCAAAAAGTCTAAAAGGGTCTCTACTGATAACTAAGTTAATTCTTCTGACCAGCTTTGAAGGTCCTGCATGATCTCATCACCCACCATTTGGCCAGTCTCATCCCTCATTATCAATGAACGAATGTGTGTCAAGTACTGACCACTGTATGGATGAGACACTATATGGGGGAAAAAAAGACACAAGTCCCTATCTCCAAAAGATTTTAATCCAGGTCACGCCATAAGACGACTTCAACAGGCAATAAATAACTAATGTGTGATGTAAATAATAAGCAGTGTCAGTTTTTCACGCCCTTGCTCTTACTGTTTCTCTCACCTGACCCACCCTCCTCCTGGCTCCTATACAAATACAAATCCTACACAGGTTTCAGGGTTTACCTTCAAAGCCTCACCTTCTCCCTGAGTCCTTCACCAGAAATTCTATTTAGCCCATTCTGATCCCTCTCTTGGATATCCCATGTCTATTACAACTGGTAACACAGACAACCTGGCACTTAACTAAATACTATCTACGTGCCTGAGAACTAGAGCTAGCAACTAAGCAGAGAGGATGGAGAGGAATTAGCAAAAGCCAGTCTTTCCCACGCAAAAAATATGCACAAAATTTAAAAGGAAAAAGATGTCTACTTTACTATCACTTAAAACAAAAAGGTACTGTGGGACTGCAAGCAATACTGACTCTATGTTAGGCCCTTACCAGTTTGTTATGTCTTTGTGGGAGCTTTGCCCATAAAGTTGTACAGTAACTAGGGAAAAGGCGGTTAGAACAGATAGGAACAACCTGCTGACTGTAAAGGAATGATTAAGTACCAGGGTGACGATAAGTCAGCCTGGCCACCTGCATCAACATTTGGAACTAGTTACTTAAGTTAAGCTTGCTTAGCAACAGCCTATACAAACCTGAGCTCAGACTTGAGATAGTGTGGAGAAGTTTGGTATATGCCTTTGGGCTGCCATCGGCCTGACACATTACTCTGTAAGTAAGTCACTCTGTAATAAAGTTCTTTGTTTTATCACATAGAATGGCCTGTTACATTGTTTGGCCTCAAGATACCTTTCTGGTTAGGTGGACAATCTGCCCTTGGTCCACCTTTAGACAGATACATTTACTTTTATGTAGCAAAGAGAATTCCCAAATGACGAAACGTATCAATTCAGGCCCTTAACTACAAGGTTATTAACTGAAATAATTCTAATCTTAACTTTAACAAATTCTGAGAAAATTCTCACCCACAAGACCTACAGATGTCCGTCATTTTCTCTTTGGTTGTAAAATCTGCAGGAAGTTTAATTAGATGAAGGATCAGCTGACTGTAACCCCAGGAAAGCAAGTGTGAATGAGCCCTGTGAAATTTTAAATAATTAATTAATTAATTAAATAGGAAATAAACTCTAGAAAGTGTTTATTAGTCATCTAGCAGGTAAGAATAGTTTAATTATATTAACATTATTATTATATTTTCAAACATTTCTGTTTGGCTTTTGAAAAATTGAAAATAGCTACTTTTCCTATAACCTATTCATTTTTTTTAAATTAGATATTTTAGGTAATCAAGAGTAAAAGAAAGAAGCCCATAATTCCATCATTCACAGATAGCCATTGTATACCGTTCCAGACCTTTTGTCTAGGCATATAAGACAGGCACTTTGGGGGCCTTTAAAAAGCTTCTCTTGGAGGAAAACACAAGGAATATTTCTAATACATTACAGGTATCAGTGTGTATTTTTTGTAAATTCTACTTTTACTAAAAAAAACCCTAAATGAGGTTGTGTCTAGAAATCCCTTGACAAATTTTTAGGAAGAAAACATACACACACATGCACTATTTTCTCCCTTTAACACAGGTTTAATCATCAAGGGCTCCTGAGATAATTAAACTTGTTTGGAGGTTCTAGCTGCACAGCTATTCATATACCCTTGACAGAGGCCCTCTTCTCTGTCGGGGAAGGTCATCCTCTTCGACAAAGCACACAGCTTCAAGAGGGATGCACATAGAGCAGTGAAGGAGGAAGGGGACACCCACCTAGCCAGCCAGATCAGCCAAATCAACCCTAGTGATCAACAGGGTGAAAGATGTCACAGCCAGATCACCCTCACATCCATCAAGGGCTCTTAATGTGGGTCCAGGAAAGAGCTGCAGGGAACGTTTAATTCTCTGAAGTCATGTGCAAAATTTTGCATGCATATGCATTTTTCTGAAAGGAATCATCAGATTCTTACAGGGTTGGTGACCCAAAAATGTTCAGAACCACTAAGAAGTACATTCAATTTCATTACTACCATGACTTGGGTCAGTCTCTTCCATAGCTATTCCTAAAGTGAGCCCAAAATGCTATAAGTGAATAATATGGTTCCATTCCAAAGGAACTTTGGAGCTTAGTCCTTAGAAAGGGGACTCCTACCTTACCTGGGGCATCCTTCATCATCCATTGTGCTTGTGCTTGGTGGAGCATCATGAGACACTGCCAAAAGCAGCCAATCCAATCTTAAAGACTCTGGCTGTAGAAAGGACTCAAGGAAGTTCGACCTAAGAGAAAGTTTGGCAGAAAAGTCACCAATCTTCATGCTGAGAAAGGAAACATAAAATGTGAGAGTGTAAAGAAACAAAGTATGGGAGTATTGATTCAGGAATCAACACAACAGATGAATTAACTTGAAAACTTTCTGCTACAAAATGTCTAGAAATGCTGGTGAAAACTTAGTAGTCCTCTAAATGAATAACTGAACCCCAAGATAATAAGAAAAATGCCAAAGGACCAAAAAAAAAGAGGAGAAATAAAAACCAGTGTGGCAAGTGTGAACCAATTAGAGGAAGAAAAAAAAAAGGAGGAAGTTGCCAGTCTAATAACCAAGGTGCACAGAGCCATGGAGAGATAGAAAATGACACACCAACCTAAAAAGAGAAGAGCTAGAACTGAGATCCACACACAAAAAGCTGGGATATCATCAATAAAAAGGTAACAGTAGGGCCGGCCCGGTGGCGCACTGGAGAGTGCGCCGCTTGGGAGCGCAGCGGCACTCCCGCTGAGGGTTCGGATCCCATGTGGTGACCGGTTCCCGCTCACTGGCTGAGCGTGGCGCGGGTGCAACACTGAGGGTTGCGATCCCGTTGCCGGTCCCCGGTACAGGCGCGACACCGAGGGTTGCGATCCCGTTACCGGCCAGTAAAAAAAGACAAAAAGGAAAAAAAAAAAAAAAAGTAACAGTAAATCCATTCACTGGCAGAGAAAACAAGCTTACCTGTCTTAGCCTAGGCCCTGAATCAAGGGTTTAATTTTACACTGATGATTTGAGAATCCCTGAGAGAGAGAGAGGAAGGGAAGGAGGGAGGTACTAGAAGTATGGTACACGCACACTTGTGATGTATGCTATGAAGTGTGGCAGAATGGTACGAGATTGCCAAAATCCTCATCTTCCATAATAAGTGCCTCAACCCTGTGGTAGTTAACAGTAAAAATGTTACACCTGCTTATAAAAGAGAAACAATGCCCTATCAAAAGAAAGGAGAGTCTGAAAATATGCTCTCCTTCTCACCGCTGATCTTCGGGCCTTGATTTCACCAGACTGTCTAAATAGGCCAAAAACTGAGCAGGATGATGATGACAAAGTTGCATGATATCCGAAGGCAAAATGGATGGATAAAACCTGATTAAGGATCGAAGAGCAGATTCCCCAAACTTCTCATACAACCTGCATTTAAAAACAAAACACTTCAGTCTCCAACTTCAGTGAGATGATATAATTTGAATATATTAAGTACTTATTAGAAATGAAAATAAATATACTAACAAGAAGCTGCCTGATATGCAAATGAGTACAATTTTAAAGACTAAGACACAAAAAAACACATGTGCTTTAGTTCATATAAACAACATACAAGACAACCTACCGGGTAGCATAAGCAATCAACAAAGGACTATCAAAAGGAACTGAATCATCTAATAACTTTAATCTCGTTGGTAGGTCTCCTTCTTCCATCTGCATACACGTAGGATTGGAACTAGTCATTTCTGAAAGATAAAGCACATCCTTTCCCCTTCATCTCTTAGCTGTAAATATTCAATTCATGAACACATTCATTTAACAATCATTAATCACGCATCTACCATGTGCACCTACTATGTATAAGGCCCAATGTTTGTTAAGCACTATAGGAGACCAAAAAAAACAACATGTAATCTCTACTTTTAAAGGACTTTAAAATCAAATTGGGATGGCAAAGCATATTGAAAGTTTTAAACAAGACAAAGGAACAGATAACAAATACTTAGGTGGCTATTATCTTGAAAAAATAAGTATCTGGGGTTATATATGTCTACCATCTATGTACATACATCACAAGCTATATATATCTACCATCAATACCAAATTGCTCAGTCTTTTCTAGTATCCCCTACTCCATCTTTTAGAATTAAACTAAATTCAATGAAATTAATTGTAAACACATTGTATATTGACAAAATAAAATACAATTTAAAAAAAAAGAAATTTGGCCTCTTTTTAAAAACATCAGTGTAGCAAATATTCATCCTCTCAAGGAAGATCTGACTTTTGGGAATAATCAAAAGTCATTTTAAGCCAAGTCCAGTGAATACAGTAAGTGATTATCTAGTTAAAATTATTTGTATTTAAAAAAAAAAATACTAATCTAAAGTAAAATGTGTTTTTTTCAAGTAGTTTTCAACTGATTCTGAAGATAAATCCCAAAGAATAGTTCCAAAAGCTGTTTTCCATAATTACAACACCATTAGAAGGGTGGGGCCTGTTCAACAGGCCATTTCTAAAGGGTCAACCTTCAATTTCGGATATATTTGTTGGAAAAAAGGTCATTTTTTGCCCAGTCTCATTGTTTCTCATTTCATTGTGTCAGGCAATAAGTACTTAAAAGGAATTCAGAGAAGGAAGCCATCATTTAGAGCTGGAGAAGTAAGGAAAAGCTTTATGACTGGGTGGGAGCTAAGCCAAATGTAACCACCTAAATTCAAGCAGCTACATCATTTCAAATTGCCCACTATGCTTGCTATAGCCAGCACTGGTAGTAACAACCATCACTCTGGCTTATTGAGACTCTTTTCTGCTATTCTCCTGTGCCCAGGGTTGGGTATGATCACATAATAAAGATGATACAGAAAATTTCCAATAAGTAATGATGTCACACACTTGAACCTATTTGAAGAGAAATAACCTGTTTCTTATGCTTTTAAGTGCTATATGCTGCTATATGTAAACTGAAGCACAACTGTAACCATAACTTCCTGAAAGCTAAAAGACCTCTAAGTCAGATAATACAAAAATGTATCCCTACCTGTGGCTATTCACTTTTGGTAATGAATCAAGTTTGCTTAAAGTCTCAATCAATTATTAGAAACATGGCATCTGTTATTCGAGCAGAATTTTGAATTAACATTCACCTCTTCAAAAACATGGGACTATGGCAGTAGAAACGGCAATGTTGGTCTTAAGGGTATGAGAGCTGGTTTCTATATCAGGAGGACAAACTGTGACCTTTGGTCAAGTCTGAGGTAGACACTACTGGCTATGCACCAAAGTCTCCTGAGGTAGACATGCAAACCTTTCACACATATTCATTCTCTTCATCAAACCTTTCACACATATTCATTCTCTTCATCTTGGACACCTGGATAAGTTACATTTCCCAGTCTCCTTTGCAGTTAGGTAGGGCCATGTGATAGAATTCTCACCAATGGAATGTCAACAGAAGATATGTAAGCCATTGCCAGCCAGGCCTATAAAACAGCATGTTCCACATGCTTTCCCCTGACATAGCAACCCAGCCTCAACCTCAAGCCCTAAGGAAGGATGGAGCCTAAAATAGTGAAAGGAACTTGGAATGCTGAATTACCACATGGAAGAGAGCTGCCCATTGACTTGGAACACCTGTCTTGACTATTATGAGCAAGAAATAAATTTCTACTAAATATGCATTATTATAAGATATTTATTATAGTACTTTAGCCTACCCAAATAGTAATATCTCTCTGTTCCTCCTTTTCCTCATCTATAAGATGGAATAACACAATCTACTTTAAAAACTGCTATAAGGATGAAATGAGCTGATGCCTGAAAAGTGTTTACCATAATATCTGGTACAAAGTAAGTACCCAATATATGATATACATTATTTCTATATTAGTAAGTTACACAAAGGATTTTCTTGTTTTTATGTATCTGCATTTATGAACTTTAACTCCAACTTCTCCAACATTGCCATGTAATTTTCTGAATGTGATTGTGAAAGAAATAAAGCTAATTTCTTATAATACAGTTTCAAATTAAACCAATGTTTGAAGAACTATTAAAAATTAAAATGAGTGTAAAACAGAATGGAAGTTGACCAGAACAGAGGTGATTTTCTACTTAAAAAAATTTTTTAAACCAAAAAATTCAAAAATGCTACTGCCCTCTACACTAATTTCTATATTTGATAAGGCAATGTGATTGTTACCTTTCAATCCTTCAATAAAAGTATCCCAAACACAAGGGCTGTTAGCATAACTAAGCTTGATACTCTCCTTTGCTCTTTTCAAGTCCAGGAGAAAAAAGTACTTCTTTAGGAACCGACAAGCCAGAATTTCAGGAGAGCAGAGTTGAAAAGTGTGGTCCATATGTCTGCTTGTGCTTTTCATCTCAGAATTCAATACATTCAATTCCAAACACAACGTTGTCAATTCAGCCAGGTCCTTCTGAAAACCATTTGCTATGGTACATGGAGAACATAGTTGAAAAAGGTCATCTGAGGACTCCTTCAGACTACTTACAGATTCACATGTTGTTTGATCAACAGTTTCTTCATTGCCTAAAGTGTCCCTTTTTTCCTTTTCATTATTTTCATCTAATATTCCCTTTTTTGATTCATTAAGCAATAGCATATCCTGGTTTGATTTCATGGATAAGTTGCCAGTATCTGAAATGCCTGAAAAGTCTTTTGTGGCAAATGTTTTTTCCAACTGTGAAAGCCACTCCCGTAAAACCATTCTCAGAGAGTTGGGTTCAAATAAAACCAGAGGGTCCTGTAGCTTGGTCCTGTACAAGACAAACAAGTATAAAATTTACGTTTAATGTGATTTTTAAAAACAAATTATTTCATTTCTAAATAAACCTAACCAATACAGCATATTCATCTGGAATAAATGTTTCTTTTCAACTCTTTAAATAACTACCGTCTCAGCAAGATGACAAAACAGAGAATATCAACTTTGTAGTATTTTACTAATTCTTGAATTTCAATTCCAAATGAAGCTACTTCTGCCCCAGACTGTCTCAGGACCACTACTGATGATCTCAAAAAGTCATTCCCATTCACTGTAAAACTTTCTCATTCATACTCACATTGCTTCTGCTGTTGCTGCTTTGAGCTCTTGGAACCTGTCTTCTTCTAGAGGTTGACTAGTTATCTCTTTTCTCCCCCTAACAAAGTGTGAAAAATAAAATAATATTCACAAGAGTTAGAGGGGATCAGAGCTTTCTTAGACAAATATTTCTAAGCACTTACTCAATAGCAGGTATTGTGCTTCATGTTACCTGAGACAAACAGATGACTATAAAAAGTGATCCACAGCCTCAAGTCAGAGTAAGTTTAAGTCAGAGTAAGCTCTAATTAGGAAGAAAGGCATGCAAACAATTAAGTGTAATATTAAAAAGAATAAAACAAATGCTAAAGAGCAGCACTTTAAAGAGCATTGTTCTATGGAAACACAGAAGAAGGAATAATTATTCTGACCAGGCAATCAAGAAAAGCATTCCTGAGGAGGTAATATTTGTTACAAAAAAATGGTGGAAGAATACTACACATGGAAGACACAGAATGAAGAAAGGTGGAGAGATGTCAGAGTACGCACCCAGTTCTCTAACAGGACTAGAAGTTAGAATGCTTAGTGGGATGTGACTGGAAATGAGGCTAGAAAGGTGGGCTAAGGTCAGGCTGAGGGCTGCCTTAAATGCCCTGTCAAAAAATCTGTACTTTTTTTCTACAAACATGGATTCACTAAGTTATCCAGAGAATAATGCACCTTTTTTGTCCTCTGACTGCCCAGATACACTGGACCTATGGGTCTCTCTCTCAATTCCTGGGTAAGTACTGAGCTTGCTTGTCTCTAATGTCCAGATCCCCTGAACTATGAGATAAGGCAGAAACCAGAGAGACAAAAAACTTCACACTATGCTAGACCAAGGTCTCTGCTACAGCTCTACTACAGAAGGACTATGCTACCAGCATATCATAGAAAGGCACCTGACAGGACATCAATGCCAACTATTTGATCAACAGTTTCTTCACTGCGTAAAGAGTCTCTTTTTTTTTCTTCATTATCTTCATCTAATATTCCCTTATTTTTGACTGATCCAACAACAGCACATCCTTGATCTTACATGCGAGAGAGCTTTAGCCAACTAACTAAGGTCACATGCTAGTCAGAAGCAGAGCTAGGATAAGGCCTAGATCCCTGGTCATTTTACTCTTAATCTAACACTCCTCTGACATCCCAGAAGTTTGAGGAGACTATGGGGGAGGAAGGGGGTTGTACAGGGGAAAGATGGAAGAGGTACAAAATTAAAACTCTGTCTCAATAGATTTGCTACAGGTTGATGTAATTTTTCAACACATGTGGAATTCACAATTTTTATGAGTACACAAACAATCCTCAATGAATGGGGTCATATAAGTGCCTTCTCCAACAGGACACAGTCTATGGCTTTCTTCAAACTGACAGCTGGCTCCCTAGACTTTACACAGATTTATATGTGAGAGCTTACTCAGTGTCTTCCTCCTTTGGGCAGGTAACTGAACTCGCATCCTCTTCACATGATTGTTCATCATCCCTGGGTTCTGGTCTCACTTTCATATCAGGGCTTGTGTGAAGGGTGCCAATCTTCTCAGTGGTTTTACGCACAAAGCTAGAAACGCTGGAAGTCAAATGCCAAAAAACTAACATGAAAAAAATCTTGTTACTGCCAAGAATGAAAAATTTGATACCTGAGTTTTCTGAATTCCTATTAGTCCTAAGAAGGCAACTTGGTCTTAATAAAGCCTCTGTATATAGCACCTTCTCTAATCAACTATATATTTCACACAAGGCCCATGTAAAACTTATAATGATTCATTTCATTTACTAAACTGCCCTGAGAAACCAATGACTCAGTGCTAAAGAAAGAGGTCTTTAATTCTTGCTATGTCTGTAATGTTCCTGTCAACAGAGGCAAAGTAAGCCATGTGATCATCAGCCCCATCCTGATCATAGAATAACAAAGAATTTCTTCATGAAACTCAGCTGCTAACTAGTCACAATATACCCTTATTAACAAGCAAAATTTGTATCCAGTAAGACTCAGATAAGCAATGAAGTAACTGCACAAAGTCTTCTCTCTCAAACTCAAATGCCAATCCTGGTTTCACGGAGAAAGAATTCTGAAAAGTCTCCAATTCCAAGGCCAAACTGAGAATGGATCAAGACATGACTAATGATACATGGAAACTGTTCCTCATCCCAGGGATGAGGAGAAAAATTTTTTAATTTTCGCTCTGGCTGGGTGAGGGAAGCCTACATCTGTTAACAACTACAATACCCAGTTACTAAAAGAGGAAAGCTAAATTCCCCAAGGTTGAAATGAGAACAGCATCATGTAACAGGTTATATAAGAAATAACTTTCTCTCATTTATAATGTCTTTCTATTCTCAGCACCAAGTACATAATGCAACAACTGAAGTAAAATCAGAAATGGAATTAAATCACAAGACTAATTGGTTTACCTTTCTTTGACAGCCTGAAGAGACACAAGAGGAGATGGGGAACGAAATGATAATGGAATGCCGAAGGGGAGAAAAGTTTCATTCTTATCTGTCTCAAACGTCACTGGAACACGAGAAACATTGTCTAATGAATAGAATGGTGGGGAGGCAACAAAATCTAGTCACATTGGAGTTTTTTTAATCTTTAAAGAAATTCTAAAATGAATAAACCAAAGGAAATGAAGGATTCAATATTAAATCACAACTGACCCAGATACAAATGAGCAGAACACGGGTTTACGAGATGCATGGGATGGTCCACATAAAACACTTAAGGCAGGTACCTTCATTTGCCTACTAACCCTGAATCCCCATAAGTCAAAAAGGAAGTTTAGAGTCTCTATTAATCTCTTCTCAACAGTTCAGTCACAGGAATACTCGAACATCAAAAAGGGAAGGTAATGACCCCCAAAACTGTAGTAATTTTTCATTCCTGATGGAAAATAATTTGGTTAGTCAGGATAAAATCTTTCCACTCTTTTGGTTAATGAACTTCTTCCTTAACCTTTCCAGCATTTTGACACATGATCAAAATTAGGCACTTTACCAATGTTAGCCTAAACATGAGGGGGAAAAAAACTAAGCATAACCTGCTCTTCTAGTAGCAAGCAGATACACAGGTCTGGATGGAAAATCAACATGCTAAAAATTATTAACACATCATAGGAATTCTATGCACAGGATAATCCTGGTAATGAGAACTCAAAGAAAATAACTGCTTCATATCAGCAGCCAACAACAGACACATTCATCACCTTCATTCCCAGGTGAGCCACAACACTGATCTGGCTGGTCCTCTTCCTGATGTGAGGTGAATTCTTTAAGTCTCTCATCTTCTGAGAGGGTTTGGCTGTGAAGGGAGCAAGAGTCTTCATCCGACTGACTGCCTCTTCTACTACTAATGATACGATAAATACCAGAGTCCAAAATACTGAAACTTTCCTAAAGGTGAAAAGAATTCCAAAAAAACAAAGTAAATTTTTTCCTATAATACAGCTTTTTCAGAGAAATACCAACACTAACTAATATAGAAAGTCAATAATAACAATTATGGCTTATTAGAACAAACTGGTGAGCAAGGCTTGGGCAGCTAGCACCAGGGTCACTCACATGTGCTAGTGGCATCATGCTGCCGTATTTCTCTAGCTTGTCTTCATAAAGCGTGGTAGTGAGAACGGGGATTAAATGAGACAATCCCAAGCTGCACTGACACTCAAATTAGCATAAAGCATCTGAAATCACATATTAGGAGCAACGTAGAGGCTATATGAGGTACACTTGGGAAGAGAAAATAAACAATAATAAAAAAAACAGTGGCTCCACACACACCTAAAAGGAGGCTTCATATAACTGTCCAATAAATAAAAGAAACCCAGAACCCCCTCCTCCAAAATCTACTAGATGGAAAGGAAAAAGACAAGTTTTGCGATCCTAGAGGTAAATAAGTATAACCAAAGGTGGAGAAGTCTTACTCTACAACAAAACCCTTTCAAAAGTAAGAATACTTACATGTGATGAAATGGAGCTTCTTCTACTGCTGCAAGCTGAATCCAAAGGTTCAAATTTTAAGATCAATTCTTCAAGTTGAGAAATTAAATCACTATAGGTTGCAAGGTCCAGCTGAGATTTCAAATGCTCCAATTTTTCTATAGTCAGCGTTTTTCTTGCCTAGTAAAAGAATAAGTAAAAACCTAATGGAACAGCTCAGTTTGTAACTAAATCTATATTCAAATGGCCAATATACTGAAAGAGATCTAACACAGAACATAAAATTTCAAAGGTGTTTTAAAAAGGCTTAGCAAGCTAGTGAAAGACTTAATAAGAATTATCTTAGCAATTAAGTGTTTAAGAGTTACCATACACACAATCAATCCCCTTAAAAATAAGTTCTGAAATTAAAATAAATTTGTGGATAAATTTGATATTTTTTTAAAATGGAAATTGTACCCTCTTTCTTATCCTCCACCCATCCCTAGATATATCTGTCATGCTTTCTTTGGGGATTTATTGCAATATCTGATAAGTCATATACAAAGAGCTAATAAAGACAAGCAACTTCGTAACCCAATCCCATAAGCTAGGATGGTTTTACCAACACATGATGCACAGGTCTAAATTAGCTCTGACTCACTCTGCTAGCAATGATAGAATTTTGGAAAAGACAGCATGTGCGAGCAGCCAGGTTCCATAGGCCTCTCCTCAGCAGGCGTTCCACACAGCGCTCCACAGATAACAGGGAAAGATGTAAGACTTTCCCATTTACGTGCAAACAGAACAGTTCATTCTTACAGACAGCTACATCCTGAATATCTACAAGAAAACACAGGATGTTAACCAAATACCCATCTTCCATTTTTGCAAGTGCTGAAATTATTCTATTAAATTCACTTCTCACATAGAGTTTGGCTTGACTGAATTTCATCTCTACTTTTATACTTGCATTTCAGTGAAGAAATCATATTTTAGACACTATTCTAAAAAGATCAAGAATAAAAGATATGGAGAAAGAACCACATCTCTGTGATCTAAAATCCTAAGTTTAAAATGGAGGGGGATGGGAGTAAGGGAGAAATTGATAAAGGGCCACAAAAAACAATTACACTATATATTGTTTAATTTACTAATTACCCTGATTTGAGCACCACATATTGCACACAAGTATATTCAACTCTGTACCCCACAGATATGTACAATCTACTATGATAAAATTAAATTTTTTTAATTAATAAATGAAGCCTTCTAAATAAATAAATAAAATGCTATTTTCTGGGCTGGCCCAGTGGCGCACTGCTGTAGTGCGCCGCTTGGGAAGCGCGGCGGCTCTCCCGCCGAGGGTTCAGATCCCACATACAGACCGGCCGCTCACTGGCTGAGTGAGGAGCGGCCCAGTGGCGCACTGCTGTAGTGCGCCGCTTGGGAAGCGCGGCGGCTCTCCCGCCGAGGGTTCAGATCCCACATACAGACCGGCCGCTCACTGGCTGAGCGAGGGGCGGGGGCAACACCGAGGGTTGCGGTCCCGTGGCCGGTCCCGGCCCGGTGCGGGCGCGACACTGAGGGTTGCAATCCGTTGCCGGTCACGAAAAAAGACAAAAAGGATAAAAAAAAAAAAATGCTATTTTCTGTGAAAAGGAATAAAAATTTTAAAATAGGGTAATCCACATTAAAGGGCAAAATACAATATTCATGAGAGCTACAAACTGATGCTCAATGAATGGATTTACACAGTATGTAAATCAATAAATAGTTCATTAGAAAATATCTATCTTGGCAGAACATCTTGAAAGGACTTAAAAAACTAGTTTTCAAGGGACATCCTTAAGGAACTTAATCCATAAGAAATAAATGTTGATCAGACCAGTAATGGTTTCTCTTTTTTGTGTTGTTTTTACAAAGTAGAAAAAGACCCCCAAAAAATCAATATAGATTCTCTACTGAGCAGCAGTGATAGAAAAGCTAGATTTCCCCCACTACTGCTTTTAACCAAAAGAATACAGAGATTGAATTTCTCTCAGTCATGTACAATGGCTGTTGTTCCCACAATGACTTTTTGAACCCCAGATTATTAAGATACAAAATGGGAGTCAAAGGAAGACTTCTAGCAGGGATAAAGATTCAGAGCAAATGGAGGGGGAAAATTAACCCATTTGTCCCTTAGCAGTAGTTATAATATTTAAGAATAAATATGGGCCGGCCCGGTGGCGCACTGGAGAGTGCGCCGCTTGGGAGCGCGGCGGCACTCCCTCCGAGGGTTCGGATCCCATGTGGAGACCGGTTCCCGCTCACTGGCTGGGCGTGGTGCGGGCACAACCGGGCGCAACACCAAGGGTTGCGATCCCGTTGCCGGTCAGTAAAAAAGACAAAAAGGAAAAAAAAAAAAAAGAATAAATAAAAATTGTATTTAAAATTACCCATGAAAAAACAAATAGCTGAATACAAATTCACAAATGCATGTTTGGGAAGTACCTTACATTGGGAAACATCTATCATCTCAATCTTTAAAAGAAATGTTATCCCATTTTATTTTTCAACTTCTTACACTGCAAGAGAATCCTCCTACAAGAACCGAACCTTTCACAAGCATAAAATTAAAAATTATATAAGGAAGAAAATATAATTACCTTTGACTTCACTCCAAAGAAGAACTTGAACGTTCTGAGGAATGAAAATATAAATTCCTCTTTCTGTCCAAGTCAGCACACAATGCTCACTGCAAAAGAAAATGGAAGAAGTCAAGAGAATTCAAGTTTGCTAGGATACAGAAGTTTATGATATAATTCCCTGAATTTGGATCCTCACATTAGCTATTAAAGTAAAATCAGACTGTACAAAGAAAACACAACAGTGATCCAGCTAATCAAGTCTTAACACCTCCTTTCTGTCTATAACCAAAAAAAAAAAAAAAAAAAAAAAAAAACACACACACACAAAATGATGCCAAATTGGAAAAATTCAGATTAATACACTAAATATCTTCTAGAAAAAGAAAGACTGGTATGTGGAAAAAGAAAAGCTGAGGGATGACTTACCTGATGTTTGGTAAAGCAATTAAACTTCCCATATTTGATATGATTTAAAACAAAGACTCAGGGCCGGCCCGTGGCTCACTTGGGAGAGTGTGGTGCTGATAACACCAAGGCCATGGGTTCAGATCCCTATATAGGGATGGCTGGTTTGCTCACTTGGGAGAGCGTGGTGCTGACAACACGAAGTCAAGGGTTAAGATCCCCTTACTGGTCATCTTTTTAAAAAAAATAAAATAAAACAAAGACTCAGGGCCGGCCCGTGGCTCACTTGGGAGAGCGTGGTGCTGACAACACGAAGTCAAGGGTTAAGATCCCCTTACTGGTCATCTTTTTAAAAAAAATAAAATAAAACAAAGACTCATCTTACCTCCTATCACTGCTCTAGGGAGCCACTTTTAGAAATGGTAATATTTTGATGTCCTTAGTCGTGCATGGGTGACACAAGGTTGAGAACTCCTGGTCAACTATGTGCCAGGAGTTTTATTAAGGGCTCTACCTATACTACCTAACTTTATAGCAGCCCATCAAGGTAGATGTGTTATCCTTATTTTATAAAAAAGAAAACTGAACATCAGAGAAATGAAATAATATACCCAAGGTCATCAGCACAAAAGCAGGAGAGTCAAAATTTATACTAAGGATGGTTTGGCTCTAAAACCTGGACATTTTTCCTCTGTACCTCATAGAATCTACTTCCTCCCTCATTTATTCTCACTAACCCACCCACCACTATCTGGAATCCTGATTATCCTACTTAACTGAACTCTCAAAAAGTTGAAAAGATTTCCTAACTGCCAAACCCACTAACCCTTCATCATTTCCCATTTTCTTGACCTCCAAGCAGAGACCAATCGTGCCGACTGCTCTTTCCTTCCTGATTCTCACCTCCCCATACTCTGGGACACGGCAGTTTCTCCATTCTCTACTTTTCTCTCCAGTCCTCTGGTATACTCTATCTCTGCTCATCTTTTTCTATACTCATTTACTCATATAAATGAGTGTACCCTATTTATTCTCTCAAGGCTACTATTTTTTACATACCACTGGTAATCTCTTCTTACCCCTTGTCAAAACATTTCCCAACTTACAATATTCTTTTTCTAGCACCTCTCAAGGATCAGGAGAAGTTTTACTCCCCTCTGAAATCTTCCCCTACAGCCCATAACAATTACTCCTCTTCCTGCACTCAACCTATTTCTCATCAACTCTGCTCATATGGCACCTAATCATGTACTAAACTGTCACAACTCTTATTTTTTACTGTTGTTAAATTTTTGTAGAAATAAACCATATCTCTCCAACAAACTATAATCTTGAGGACAGGGACCCTATTTTTTTTCTGTATGTCCCCAGGAGTACTAAAAATGGTTCTATATAGCTATAAAACTAAGGATAATATTTGACAGGAATTGGGTCCTCCTGGAAAAATAAACATTTTGTCAATATGAAAGAACAGATCGCTACCCATAAAGGAAAGTAATCTTAGTCACAAAGATGGAAGAAATGGTCAGAATTCTAGTCCAAAGTAACAAATATAGGAAAGGCTGTCTTCAAGAGCCAGATAACAAAAAAAAAGGGAGGTCAGAGGATCCCAGAGCAAAGAGACACAACATCATGATTTTGATACTGAACTTGATACTCAACTTGGAAAATTCCTTAGGAATAGCAACCTATACTAAATGGGGGAAATAAACTTAGATAAGAGCTGATACTTGTAATTTATACTTTCCTTATCTCCCGTCCCTTCACTGATAATAAAAAGACTGGGACACAAACCTAACAGCATTGTTTAAAAAGTCAAGGAAAGGAAAATGATCCCAGTGTACACAAAAGGAAACAAAGTACCTAAGGATGCCCCTTTGTGGGATTTGTGGATTTGACAGTAAATGTACCACAGGACACAAGTGTACAAATGGAGAAAAAAGTAAATAAGTAGGAACAAATAGAAGCCCACCTACTCACCTTTTTCAAAAAAAACTTTGTTGAATTGGCTATTTTTTGAGAGCCTTCTGTGTGCCTAGCACTGTGCCCATAGTAAAGGAGCTGACAATCTGATGCTGGATGAATATTCATAATATAATGAGATAGCAGCGATGATGGGGAAGTGAGTATGGTTTGACAACTGTATTTGGGAACAAGTGTCTAATCTAATCTAAATCTGTTGGAGGGGTCAGCAAAGGTTTCAAAGTGGCATTAATTATTGCTAAAGCTGAGGGGTAGGCGGAGCTAGATCATGAAAGGCTTTGTTTGCCACAGCAGGGACTGTGTAACAGCTTTAAATAGCTAAATTCAAAGGAATAACTCTACCAGGAGAACCAAGCATACTGTTGCCTAGCTATTTCAAAACCTCTCCAAACCCCACATTGTCACATCACGGTCAACAAATATTTATTGTCTATCACGTGCCAGGAACTAGGCCAAGCACTGAAAATACAATAGTAAACAAAACAGATACAAAGCCCTCGTGGAGCTTACTGTTTATGCATAAGATAGGTATAAATATTGTATGACTATGTAATTATAAACTATGATAAGTGCCATAAAGGAAGAGTGCTAAAGGAGGAAGAGTTTTTAATATGCTTTATCTAACTGTGGGCAAATAAACAGCTAGCTGCCTTTCTCTAGCAACTTCCAGAATGAATTATGGATTTACTAAAGTGTTATACTGTCTATAATTCATTTTTAAATATTTCAATGTAGGCAGCGTGACATATACATGAATTAGTTTTTATTCTTACCCTTAGAGGCAATTAGTTAACATATCAATGGTTTTTTTAAAATCACATTTAATATTATTATTATTATTATTTTTTTTATGTCCCAGCCACTTTCTTTTTTTTTTTCTTTTTTTTTTTATTTTGTCAATATACACTGTATATGATTATTATGGCCCGTCATTTTTTTTATGTCCCAGCCACTTTCTTTTTTTCTTTTTTTTTTTATTTTGTCAATATACACTGTATATGATTATTATGGCCCGTCACCGACACCTCCCTCCCTCCTCCCTCTCTCCCCTCCCCCGCAAGAATGTCCTTTCCATTTGCTTGTTGTAACAACTTCATAAAAGTATAGTTGTTATCAAATGCTTTTTCGGCGTCAATAGAGATGATCATATGGTCCTTTTGTTTGATTTTATTAAGATGTTGTATCACATTTATTGATTTGCGTATGTTGAATCAACCTTGCTTCCCTGGGATGAATCCCACTTGATCGTGGTGAATGATCTTGCATATGTGCTGTTGTATTCTGTTTGCTAATATTTTATTGAGGATTTTTGCATCTATATTCATCAAGGATATTGGCCTGTAGTTTTCTTTCTTCGTTATATCTTTACCTGGTTTTGGTATCAGGATGATGTTTGCTTCGTAGAATGTGTTTGGAAGGTTTGCTTCTGCTTCAGTCTTTTGGAATAGTTTGTAAAGAATTGGTGTCATTTCCTCTTTGAATGTTTGGTAAAATTCTGCTGTGAATCCATCTGGTCCTGGGCTTTTCTTTGTTGGGAGCTTTTTGATAACATCTTCAATCTCCTTTATTGTTATTGGCCTATTCAAGTTTTCTATATCTTCTTGGTTTAATTTTGGAAGCTTGTGTGAGTCCAGGAATTTATCCATTTCCTCCAGGTTTTCGAACTTGTTGGCGTATAGCTGTTTATTGTAGTCTCGGATGATTCGTTGTATTTCATTTGGGTCGGTTGTAATATCACCCTTTTCATTTCTAATTTTTGTTATTTGAATCTTCTCTCTTCTTTTTTTTGTTAGCCATGCAAGTGATATTATTATTTTTTTTTTTTAAAGATGACCAGTAAGAGGATCTTAACCCTTGACTTGGTGTTGTCAGCACCACGCTCTCCCAAGTAAGCTAACCAGCCATCCTTATACAGGGATCCGAACCTATGGCCCTGGTGTTATCAGCACCACACTCTCCCAAGTGAGCCACCGGCCAGCCCTCATATTTAATATTAAGTGGTTCATTAGCCTCTGAAAGAACTCAATCAAGAGTCCACACTCCAGTGGACCCTGTAACAACCTCTAAATGACATTCTCTGAAAAAAATAAATAAATAAAAACCTAGAGGGGCCGGCCCGGTGGCGCACTGCTACAGTGCGCCGCTTGGGAGTGCGGTGGCGCTCCCACCGAGGGTTCGGATCCCACATACAGACCGGTTCCCGCTCACTGGCTGAGCGAGGTGCGGGCCCAACACCGAGGGTTGCAATCCCGTTGCCGGTCCCGGTCCGGTACAGGTGCGACACTGAGGGTTGCGATCCGTTGCCGGACACGAAAAAAGACAAAAAGGAAAATAAATAAATAAATAAATGACATTCTCTGAATCTGTATCAGAGACCTTATTAATTAGCCTAAATAATTTTTTTATTGATAAAGTAAGTAGAGTTCAAGACACACAGATTGGTTAGAAATTGTACAGCTGTACCTCTACCCCTGCAGAACAAGGGATAAGAATTGGCAAGCCCAGCAGTAAAAAACCTTTAGAGTGGCACTCTGTGCTGCCACTTAATAGTGGATTCTGCACCTAATCCAACTGGAAGGCTTGCTGAATCATGACATTAGAATATAGCTAAGTCTGCCTTGAACAGATCTTTCAGGTAAGGTAATTGCGAGAGTACCTAAACGGCAGAGAGTTGAAATTTCACTAAGCTCACAAGAACAAGTTTTACAATTATTTTGGGGCTTTCTTGCTGGTAAACATATATCTGCATGGCAGATTTCAGTCTGGGACCTCATTTCATATAGCATGCCACCAGGCAGGAGAGGTTATGAGGAAGTGAGTGCCTATAGCTCTTGGTTCTAATTGTTAGAAGTTCCCTGACAATTATAAACTCTCCAATTGGTTTAGAAAAGGAAGCATATTTCTAGGATCTTTCATTCCTCTTACACATAGAACACTTCATTTAACACAGTCATTTCCTAACTTTCCAAAAATAATTTAGTGCAAAAACCACCTTAAAAAGCTAACTGCCTCTGAACCAGAAACACAGAGAAAAAGCTATGTGTTCTTTTTTTTTAAGGATCAAAGGGAGAAACTTACCTAAGATACATGAGTTTGGGGAAAGACAAAGACTGGGAGGATCCAACTGTATGATCATACTCAGGGTCCGATCTAGAAAGTAAACACATCTGTTAATGATTTAATCACAACATAAAATTATACTTTTCCCAAATAGGAAAATTTTTGCCCCCAAAACAAACTCAAAAGCCTAACTGCAACTGCCCTTATTCAATTCACTCTGATCACAGAATATATAATTGATTGAAGACTTTCTTAGTTTCTCTGATCATTTAATAAAAATTTTGCTTTACTTTAAAAGACGTAATAAAATCTTTAACACATATAGAATATCAGAGATTTGAATCCAACCCCTCCATATAAATTCCTCAAATCCCAAACAGCCATGTAAATCATTACCTTTGAGAAATCACAGGGAGAGGTGGCAATGAAAGGAGTTTCTTGAACTGATGTGTACTTATAACTTCGCCATCAAAATTCACCTCCCACATCCTGGAGCCAGGGCGAGCACAATATATCAGAGGTTGCTGGCCCCCAGAACATCTTCCAGGAAAGAAACAAGCTCCATATTCCCCATCTCTTTCCTTGTTTCCAATTTTCCAAAACTTTTCTCTAATATCCAGAAAGGAACAGAAAGCATGTTTATGCACAAAAAAGTCAAAAACAATGGCACTACAAATCAGCATGGCCATAATAACCTCATCCACAATGTCCTCTCCCTCATTCATATTAGCAATATACTAGAAAGAACAATAGAATGGAAAGGACAAAATAGGGTTCTGGTTGATCCGCCATTAGCTATTTCTGTGACAGGAGGCAAACCACTTCATGATAGTACTCAGTTTATTATCCACAGAATGAGGGGCTCAGAATTAATGTGTAGGCACCTTTCAAAGAGTGAGTGCTACCAAACCATTTCATGCATCTTTGAATCCTGACTGCTTCCCAAGTCACTTTCTAATATGTTCTTTGGACACTCTGTGGATGCTACTAATCTACCACTCCAACCCTGTCTGCAAGTCACTCTCTTACCACAAACACCCAGGAAACTCCTTACTCTTTCCTCAGAATGCCAGGTCTTTCTGAAACTGTGCCTTGGAACATTCTGTCCTCTTAGGATTACATGAGTTACAAATAGAAAGGGTTTAGCATACTGCCCAGGAACATGGAAAGTGATAACGAAGAGGATGTCTCTTCCTAAAAACTCCTGTTTCTTATTCTTCATGACTCAGCTCCATCATTCTTCCTGTGAAAAACTTCCTTGACTCCCATAAGCTGAATTACATGCTTCCTATGCTATGCTTTCATAGCACTTGCCATATTACATATGGCAATTATGTCTATTTAAACAGTAGATTATGACTTTTCAGGACAAAAGCCATCTCTTATTGCTCTTTAATTGAATTCCCAGGGAATAGCACAGTGTCTAGCCCACAAAAAAAACTCAATACATTGTAGTGCTCTATAAACTCAATTTCTTTTATTGGACAATGACCTAATATGCTCTCTAGCATGAATTTATTATATGACCCTGGATAATTCAATAAATATTCCTGTATTTATCTGCTTTATGAATAAAATATAACATCTGTTTTACTATAACAACATGGATGTAAAAGTGCTTTGAAACATATACAGAGTAATATAAGAAGTTATGGTTTTATTACTTAGATTCCTTCTTTGGGAAATAAAATATATTTCTTGCTTATTTTATATCTTTTCAGAGCCTAATACAGTGCTAAAGGTCTGGGGCAGTACAATAAATGCCTGCTGAGTGAAAACTGCAGTCAACTCATTCTCATTTGGTATATTCATTAATTTCTCTTTCTGCATTTTCAAACAAGTAATATATGACAGGCACAAAATTAAGTATTTTCATATACAGAAGCTTACTTAATCCTTAAAACTATCTCTATATTCTGCATGCAGAACTGACATTCAGTAAGGTTTAAATAGTGGGCAGAGAGCCCGAGAGGCCCAAAATCCACGAGAGCACGCACCCTGCAGTGCCAGCACGTGACCCAGCAGGTAGGCCTCGCCGCCGCGACCTGACTCCATCCCCAGCCCCACTGACTGTGCGCTGACCAGACAAGCGCCTCCCTGGAGAGGCCCAAGACCAAAGGCGACCATGCACCTGAGACACCAGTGGGGAACTGAGCAGACACTAAGGCAGCTGTGCCAAATTGGCAACTCCAGCAGCATCCTAGCCAGACAATAGTGTCAAACCAGTAGACCGTGAAATCCAATGCCACAATGACTAAACATAAAAGGAAAGATACCAGAAATATGAAAAATCAAGAAAGTACACAACCAAAGGGTAATAACTCTCAAGCTCTAGATCACATAGAGCAAGAACCCCTTGAAATGTGTGACAAGGAATTTCTAGTGATAATTCTAAGGAAACTAGATGAGAAACAAGAAAACTCAGCTAGACAACATGATGAAATGAGGGAAAGTATACAGGACCTGAAAGAAGAAATGTACAAGGAAATCAATGCCCTGAAAAAGAATATAGCAGAGCTTGCCAAGCTGAAGAATTCACTCAACGAAATAAAAAACACAACAGCGACTTTAACCAGCAGGCTTGCAGGAGCAGAAGAGAGAACTTCTGACCTTGAAGATGGGCTGTTTGAAATAACACAGGCAGACAAAAAAAAAGAAAAAAGAATTTAAAACATTGAAGAAAATCTAAGAGAGATATCAGACAACCATAAGCACTGAAATATCCAAGTCATGGGTATTCCAGAAGGGGAGGAAAAAGGAGATTGCATTGAAAACATATTCAACAAAATAGTGGCAGAAAATTTCCCAGATATAGGAAAAGACACAGATCTTCAGATTCAGGAAGTTCAAAGATCCCCAAACGTTTTCAACCCAAAGAGGTCTTCTCCAAGACATGTTATAGTCAAATTGGCAAAACTTAAAGACAAAGAGAGAATCTTAAAAGCTGCAAGAGAGAAGCATCAAATCACCTATAAGGGAGCCCCAATCAAAAAAAATACCAGACTTTTCATCACAAACCCTAAAAGCCAGAAAGTAATGGGATATATTCAAAATACTACAATACAGAGATTGCCAGCCAAGAATACTCTACCCCACAAAGCTATCCTTCCGAAATGAAGGGCAAATAGTATATTTCTGAGACAAACAAAAACTGCGGGAGTTCACTACTACACAACCACCCTTACAAGAAATTCTCAAGGGAGTACTGGGTTTGGTAGCTGAAAAATAACTACCACTGCCATAAAAACTCAAGAAAAATCAAAACCCACTAGTAAAATAAAAATGCCAACAATGAAGAGAGGGAGAAAAAGTTTATCTACAACCCAAGAAACCAACAAATACAGAAGACAAACAGTAAATGAGAAAGAAAGGAACAAAAGACACCTAAGACATCCAAACAAAAATCAATAAAATGCTAGGAGTAAATCAACACTTTTCAATAACAACTCTTAATGTAAAAGGATTAAATTCCCCAATCAAAAGACACAGACTGACTAACTGGATTAAAAAGGAGGACACGACTATATGCTGCCTTCAAGAGACCCACCTCACCCATCAAGACTCACATAGACTAAGAGTGAAAGGATGGAAAAAGATTTACCATGCAAACAGAAATGAAAAACAAGCTGGAGTAGCTATTCTTATATCTGATAAAATAGACTTTAAACTAAAAACCATAAAAAGAGATAATGAGGGCCGCTACATAATGATAAAAGGATTGATCCATCAAGAAGATGTAACAATCATAAATATACATGCACCCAATGTCAGAGCAGCCAGATTTATAAAGCAAACTCTATTAGACCTAAAGAAGGAAATAGACACTAATACCATAATAGCAGGGGACCTGAACACCCCACTATCAATATTGGACAGATCATCTAGGCAAAGAATCAGCTGAGAAACACAAGATCTAAACAACACTCTAGACCAATTAGACTTGGCAGATATCTACAGAACATTCCATCCAACAACCTCAGAATACGCACTCCTCTCATCAGCACATAGATCATTCTCCAGGATAGATCATATATTAAGTCACAAATCAAGTCTCAACAAGTTCAAGAAAATTGGAATTAGCCGATGTATTTTTTCAGACCACAATGGATAAAAATTAGAAATCAATAACAAACAAAATTCTGGAAACTATATAAACCCATGGAAATTAAACAGCATTCTACTTAATGACATATGGGTCCAAAAAGAAATCAAACAGGAAATCAAAAATTTTTTTGAAACTAATGAAAACAATGATACATCACACCAAAACCTGTGGGATACTGCAAAAGCAGTACTAAGGGGAAAATTTATCGCATTAAATGCTTACTTCAGAAGAAGGGAAAGATGGCAAGTGAACAACCTAATACTTCACCTTAAAGAACTAGAAAAACAAGAACAACCCAAACCCAAAGTTAGCAGACAGAAAGAAATCATTAAGATCAGAGCAGAACTAAATGAAATTGAAATCCAAAAACGATACAAGATATCAATGAAGCAGAAAGTTGGTTTTTTGAAAAGATAAATAAAATTGACAAACCATTAACACGGCTAACTAAAGAAGAGAGAAGACTCAAATAACAAAAATTAGAAATGAAAAAGGGGACATTAAAACTGATACATCTGGGGGCCGGCCAGGTGGCGCACTGGAGAGTGCGCCACTTGGGAGTGCAGTGGCGCTCCCGCCAAGGGTTCGGATCCCATGTGGAGGCTGGTTCC